TTGAAAAGAAATTCTTTTCCCCAGTGGACTGAAAATTAGTGCAACCTCTGTGGAAAAGAATTCAGAGATACCTTAAAGAGCTAAAAATAGAAATACCATTTGATCCAGCAATAGCACTATTAGGCATCTACCCAAAAGAATAAAAGACATTCTATAATAAAGACATCTGCACCCGAATGTTTATGGCAGCACAATTCACTATTGCAAGGATGTGGGAACAGCCCAAGTGCCTGTCAGTTCATGAGTGGATTATTAAAATTTGGTAAATGTGTACAATGGAATATTACTCAATCATAAGAAATGACAGCGATCTAGCACCTCTTATATTCTCCTGAATTGAACTTGAGCCCCATTATCCGAAGTGAGGTATCACAAGAGTGGAAGCATAGGCTCCACATGTACTCGCCATCAAATTGGCACTAACTCATCAACACTATGGTGCTCACATGGTAGTAATATTCTCCAGGGATTAGGAGGTTGGTGGGGGGAAGGGGGGGATAAACTCACAACTAATGGATGCGGTGAGCATTGTAGAGGGGAAGGGCATGCCTCTAATCCTCGCTTGGGTGAGGTAAAGACATAAAATGTAACCAAAATGTTTGTTTTCTTATAATATCCTGAAAGAAAAATAAAAAAACAAAACAAAACAAAGAGGGCATCAGGTCCCTAAGTAGGATTTGAGGACTTATGTTCTCAAGGTTCCCATATAATCACTGTGATCCTTTTCTTGCCTCCTATTTTCTAGATAAACATGATGAACTTGGAGGTCCCTCAATAAAAAAAGGTAAGATAATTAGAAAGGAGATGCTTTTCCCGATTACATCTGCCTCATGGGATGGGGGATTGTCTTTGCTTAAAGCACATAAGAAGAACCTTTCTCAGTGTTATCGGGGGAACTGCTGCCTTTCTGGGGCAGTGAGGAGATGACTTCTAAAGTGCTTTCAGGTTCTGGAAACGCCGGTGCGTAAAACGGCACAAGGCACGTCGTCCACCATGTTACGTAACGGAAAACAAAGGCGGAATTTGGGGAGTGATGGGGGTGAGTTTTTGTGTGACTGGTCTGGGGACTCCAGTAGCACTGGGACACATACAGGGCAGGTACTTTGGGAACATGAATGATCCAAAACAGGTGAATGTTAAATTCTTTTCTACTGATGTTGCTTGTCAATGAATAACCAACTAAGATTCTGTCCTCAGAGGTTCTCATAAAAATCAGAGCTTTGGGTAGCATTAGGCTGAAACAGGAGCTCACCTAGACTTTAATGGCCAAATGTATACAGTTGACCCTTGAGCAATGTGGGGGTTAGGGGCACTGAACCTCCACGCAGTTGAAAATTCACTTATAACTTTCGACTCCCCCAAAACTTAACTACTAATAGCCTGCTATTGACTGACATTCTTGCCGATAACATAAATAGCCAATTAACCCATATTTTCTATGTTATACATATTATATTATATACTGTATTCTTACAATAAAGTGAGCTAGAGAAAAGAAAATGTTATTAAGAAAATCATAAGGAAGAGAAAATGTATTTACTATTCATTAGGTGGAAGTGGATCATCATAGAGGTCTTCGTGCTCTTCCTCTTCAGGTTGAGTAGGCTGAGGAGGAAGAGGAGAAGGAGGAAAAGGAGGGGTTGGTCTTGCTGTCTCAGGGGTGGCAGAAGCAGAAGACAATCAGCATATAAGTGGACTTATGCAGCTTCATTCTGTGTTGCTCAAGGGTCAACTGCAATATAAATTGTCCTCTAGATGCTTAATCATCCTTCCTTTCAGCAACTCATAATCTTCCTTCAATCTACTCCTAAGAGCCAAAATTGTTAAACATTGTTGTTAGAGCCTAGGCTGGTATAATTAGCTTTTAAAAAAGTATCCTCCGGCGTGTTCTTGCAAGATAGCTATTTGAAACATTTTTATTCCATGTTAGTAGACTTGGGAAATGCCTGCTATTCAGCACTATGAACACAATTCATGCCAGAAATGTTTTCCAAGAGAGAGATGAAATCTGATAGAGTGGAGGAACATGCACACATCAGTAATGAGGCTGGGCACAGTGGCTCAGACTGTAACCTCAGCACTTTGGGAGGCTGAGGCAGGAGGATCTTGAGCCCAGGAGTTTGAGGTTGCTGTGAGTTGTGATCATGCCATAGTACTCTAGCCTGGGAGACAGAGTGAGGCCTGTCTTAAAAAAAAAAAAAAAAAAAGGAAATGAGGCAAAAGATCTAGTGAGGTGTGAAAGAGAAGAGAAGCTTTTTTATTTTGAACTTTTGTATCATTTTTTTCTTTTAAATTTTTGTTTTTTTTAGAGCCAAGGTCCCACTATGTTGCCCAGGCTGGATTTGACCTCCTGGGCTCAAGTGATCCTCCTGCCTCAGCTTCTCGAGTAGCTGGGATTACAAGTGCGTGCCACTGTGCCCAACTGCTTTTTCTTTTTTATTGATATATAATTCACATTCCATAAATTAACCTGTAAAGTGTACAATTCAGTGGCATTTAGTGTATTCACAAGGTGTGTAACCATCACCACTATACAATTCCAGAACATTCTCATCACCCCAAAATGAGATTCCCATTAAGCTGTCACTCACCATTCTCCAATACCCAGCAGGCCCTGCCAACCATTCATATGCGTCTTATGCCTGCGGCTTTGCCTAGTCTGGACATTTTGTATAAGTGGGTTTATATGTTAATAATATGTGATCTTCTGTGACTGGCTTCTTTCTCTTAGCACAATATTTTCAAGGTTCATCCGGATTGTAGCATGTGTCAGCGCTTCATCTCTTCTCGTGGCTGAAGAATACCCCACTGTATGGATATACCACATCTTGTTTATCTGTGCACCCGTTGATGGGCGTTTGAGTCGTCTACACCTTTTGGCTAATGCGAGTACTGCTGCTATGAACGTTGGTACCCAAGTGTCTGAGTCCCTGCTTTTAATTCTCTTGGGTGTATACCCAGGGGTAGGATTGCTGGCACATATGGTAACTTTGTATTTAACTTTTGGGGGAACTGTCAAATGGTTTTCCACTGTGGCTGTATCCTGTTCTATTCCTACCAGTAATATGTGTGGGTTCCAATATCTCCACACCCTTGTCAACACATTTCCTTTTTTAAAATTGTAGCCATCCCAGCCGGGTGCAGTGGCTCACGCCTATAATCCTAGCACTCTGGGAGGCTGAGGTGGGAGAATCATTTGAGCTCAGGAGTTCGAGACCAGCCTGAGCAAGAGCGAGACCTTGTTTCTACTAAAAAAATACAAATAAATTAACTGGACAACTAAAAATATATAGAAAAAATTAGCTGGGCATGGTGGTGCATGCCTGTAGTCCCCGTTACTCAGGAGGCTGAGGCAGAAGGATCGCTTGAGCCCAGGAGTTTGAGGTTGCTGTGAGCCAGGCTGATGCCACGGCACTCTAGCCCGGGCAACAGAGTGAGACTCTGTCTCACGAAAAAAAAAATTGTAGCCATCCAAGTGGATATTATATTTCTTTTTCTGCAAGGATGAAACGAAGTTTATTGAGGAAGGGCAAGATAGGTTTACAGAGTAAGACCAAGATAACATTTGCCACATAATGGCAAACAGCAAATGGCAAACCCCCCTGTCGTAACAAGAGAGCTCTGATTATGGTCTGGGGTCTTGTTTTAGTGTCTGGATTGGGCCCACTAGTGGTTCAGATGTCGCCATGGAACCACTTTGACGTTGAGTCGTAGTTGTGTGTCCTGTTCTGTCCTCAGTTCTTGGTGTGCTCTTGGCCGAAGAATGACCAGACACACCAAAAGCAAGGCAAGTGTAAAACAAAGTTGACTGAGGAAGTATGAGATAGGTTCACAGAGTAAGAGCAAAATACATGCGCCGCAGAACAGCAAACAGACCCCCTGTTGAAACAAGAGGGCCAGTATTATAGTTTTTGAAATTTACTTTCTGAATTCAAATGTATGTCACCACAATTCTAAACATTTTTTTTTTTTTTGAGACAAGAGTCTCACTCTCTTGCTTGGGCTAGAGTGCCGTGGCGTCAGCCTAGCTCACAGCAACCTCAAACTCCTGGGCTCAAGAGATCTTCCTGTCTCAGCCTCCCAGGTAACTGGGACCACAGGCATGTGCCACCATGCCCGGCTATTTTTAGTTGTTTGGCTAATTTCTTTCTATTTTTACTAGAGATGGGATCTCGCTCTTGCTTAGGCTGGTCTCAAACTCCTGAGCTCAAGCAATCCTCCGGCCTCGGCCTCCCAGAGTGCTAGGATTACAGGCCTGAGCCACCGCGCCCGGCCAGAATAAAGTATCTTTAAGAACGGGCATGATGTCCCTAGCCTGTATTTTCATGCCTCGAAGCCACCAGAAAGAGACCTTTACCCAGTTGCTGTGTAGAGACTGGGATGGATTTTACCACCTAACCTTGACACAAGACCAGGCTTCCTTTCTGGTGCCCTTGACTTCATTTATGCCCCACGCCAAGCTGTACCCCATGGATTGGTCTGATTCCAATAGCGCAGTGCTTTGTAATCTATTTTTGGCAGTTTGTAAACAGTGATGTAAAATTTTGCCAGGATATGTGGACATCTCATGGTGGACCCAGTTCAGCTGGTTGTGGGGCCATATGCAGAGGGTAGTTTTGCAACAGCTTACTTCTCACTTCTAGTGAATTCCTGGGTGAGAGAAACTGTAGGCTGGAAAAGGGGAGGTTTGAAAGGACGAGGCAAGGCTTGTTTTTCTGCTTCCACTGAGGGGTCCTGGGAGTCCACAAACTGCTGCTCCTGCCCTGTTTTCATAAGTCCACAGAGATGCACTGATAGAACTGCTGCTTTGGGGGTTCCTGGGATTCGGTTCCGCCAGGAGCAGGCTCTTAGGTAGTATCAGGTGACAGTGACATTGTAGGGGAGTAGGGAAGAAGGACTCGGAGGAAAAGAGACCAAACAAGGGTAGCCGTTCATGTCCCTCAGATGGTATCTTTCACTCGATCCTGCAGAACAGTGCTGGAGACAGAGAAGTTCGCAAATGCAGGAGGCCAGGGCAGTCCTACTCCCACAGACAGCAGGCATTGGTCAAGGGCTTCCTCTGAATTCCAAGGCATTTTGGATTCTCCCAGGCACTTTCCCGGTGAAGAGATGCAAGTGTTCCCTTTGGAAAGTGAAAGGAATCATGATCTCGAATGCATAGAAGTGGTGAAAGGATCTGGGGAACATGGGCTGAGGAACACTGACGGGATCCGGTACAGAGGGAGACGGCGTGGGTGGAATATCGGGTGAGACGATGATCATGACAACTACAATCTCATTATCCCACACAGTGCGTCAGCTTCTAGACCAAGTGCTTTAAAGCCAGTATTTTTCATCCTTGCCTAACTCTTCAAGGTAGGAATTATTTTCTCCCTGCCCCTTCCTTTTCTTTAACCAAATAATAGCCTATTCCAGACAGGGAAGGGGACATTTACGAAGTCTGTAAGCGGGAGACCCAGTACTAGAACTCGGGCGTGTCTTATAAATAATTCTCCACTCCTTTTGCTACTCTTTGCTGATCAATTAACAAAAAGCCTCATTTCAAGTAGATGGTTTAGAGAGATAGACAGAAAGGATAGGTAGATTAGATGGATGGCAGGTAAGTACGTGGATAGACGGATATATGGATAGAGATGATAAGATGTATAGATTAGACAGAGGACAGGTTAGATAGATGGTAGGTATGTAGATAGATAATGCCATATATATATATGTGTATATGCACACACACACACACACACACACACACACACACACACACACAAAGTGAGGGGACCAGGTGGGGGAAGGGTCTGGGTCTGGGTCAGAGACCCTGGTGCAGAGGACCAGACGTTGCAAAGGGTCTCAGACCCGGCTCTGCAATGTGACCACAGATCATCGTGTATCTGGGAAAAATCCTAAGAGCCAAAGCACACACACAAAGCTAGGGAGGGGCTTGGCGAGGTGTTTCTATAGCTACTTAACTTTTTGTCTTCAGTCATTTTTCTTCTTCCTACTCCTTGAAGTTTTACCAGGTGTTTCTTTATTTAAGTAGAAAAGAAAGCAGCAAACGGGAGGAATTGTGGAATCTACTGCCCAGACTCCACTATGTGTCGCTTCCTCGTCTGTAGCACCATAAGCTTTGGGGACAATTGTGTTTTATAATCCCAGGACTCACCCATAGGTATGTCCTCTACCAATGAGGTGGAAATATTGACACCCATCTTGCAGGGTTGTTGTAAGAATTTAAAACATTATGATGTAGACTTGCCTATAAATATTGCTGAAAAACTAGTTCCTTTTGTTGGTGGAAATTTTATCTCTTGAGAATGATGGTTTTTAGTTTTAGCCCTTCTTTTCTACCCTGGTCTAACACTGTTCGCATCTCGAATCCTCCCTGAGTCCTTTCAACTGGTCCCTTGTCACCCTGGAGTCTCAGGGAATCACATCTTCTTCAGAGAACCTCACCGGCTCCCACCCCTCACCCACACGGTTCACTACCCAGCATCAGTGAGCCCAGTGGAACGTGTCTAAGTGAGGAGCGGAGATCACGTCTGTATTAGCTGGGGTTTTCCAGAGAGGAAGAACCAATAGAATATACACATGTACATGTACAGAGAGATTTACTTTAAGGAATTGACTCACGTGACTGGGGGGGCCGGCGAGTCCGAAATCTGCAGGGTGGGCAGGCAGGCTGGAGACCAGGGCAGAGTTGATGTTGCAGCTTGAGTCCGAAGACAGTCTGGAGGCAGAATTCCTTCCTTCTCCCCACGGGGGTCTCAATCTTTTCTTGTAAAGCCTTCGACTGCTTGGATGCGGCCCACCTGCGTGTTGGCGAGGAAGCTGCTCTCCTTGAAGACTACTGGCTGACACATTAATCACATCTAAAAACACCTTCACAGCAACACCCCGCCTGGCATTTGGCCAAACAGCTGGGCACCGTGGCCTAACCAAGTTGACACATAAAATTAACCATCATGGTCCTTTGTTGTCCAGCACGATAAGACAAAGTGTGGCCAGAGGGTGGCACTACTCGACCACCATTTTTCCATCTAGAAACCGACTTCCTATCAACACAGGCCTCTGGCTGTGAACCGGTGGAACCCAGGGGCTGTGTGTGGAGTCTCAGAAACACCATAGTCACAAAAGGCACCTTCCTGGGGCTTAATTAGGCTTGTGCAGGTTTTGTGTACGGTGTGGAGCCCGATTAGCAGACCAGAGGAAGACAACCAGCCTAGAAAAAGCAGTTAAACCTTTGTAGAATTTCTTTTTTTATTGTGGTAAACGTAACATTTGTGTAACATAAAATATATATATAACATTTACATAAAATTCACCATTTTAAAGTGTACAATTCAGTGGCACTAAGTACTTTCACAATCTTGTACAACCTTCACCGTTATCTGGTTCTAGAGCTTTCTCATCACCCCAGATGGAAATCTAATACCCATGAAGCAGTCCACTCCCAGGGATACACCCAAAAGAAATGAAAACAGTTGTTCAAACAAAAGCTTATACACGAATGTTCTTAGCAGCACTATTTACAATGGACAAAGGGTAGAAACAACCCAAATACTTTAATCAATGTTATTGTCTATCATTTGGTTTTTTAAAAGTCAAACACTAACATCCTCCTTTAAAACAAGGAAATGTTCATTTATTATTTCTTGTCCTACTCTCTTTCTCGTGTACCGTTGCCGCCTCTGGAGTCCTCTTTTACGGATGTTGATCTCGTCTCTACATCTCTTAACTTTCTTTTCATAACTGCAAACATTTACCCTGTATCCTTAAATAATTCCTGGAGCCTGTTTCCTAAGTTAATAATTCAGTTTTTAAGAGTATCCATTTCGTTACTCATCGCCCCTGAGAAATACTTTTCACTTTCAAAAACCACTTTCTTGTAGTCAAATTGCGCCCTTTTCGCTCTAGGTCCTTTCAGCTTGAGCTCCAGACCCACGTGGGGGTCAGCTTCCAAATTCTCGGGGCACTTTTTACCTTTCTTCATTCTGCTGCAAGATTCGAGAGAGTTGGTTTTCCTCACTAGTCGCGAGGCTATTCCTGGTCTACCATGAACAGTTGGGACCTTGCTCACTGGGTCCCAGATTTATGGAGTGAAGTTTGCCCACCAGAATCTTTTTCCTTGGGCAGACCTTGCATTTTGTTTCCTCCCCCTCTGCCCCACGAAGTTGTAAACACCAAAGCCACAGCAAATGCCCTCCTGTTCACCCCGGGGTTCTGCTCTCCTGTTCGGTTTCTTGTCTTCAATGAATCTTCTTTTTCTCCAGGAATTTCTTTTTTTTT